TATTATATTTACTTTCAAATGTGGTACATGAAAGGACTTTATAGATGTTTGATCTTTTGAAGGTGGCGTTGCCGCCTTTGATTAAAAAAAGCAATAAGGTGAGCACTTCCTTGTAGAAGTAACCATCAAAGCTTGAAAGCACATATTTCCTTTCAACTATTAGTATTTGTTGGTGTGTTACCCCCATCCGCCATCAATCTGCTTCTCTATCTCTGACTCTTATCTCTTTCTCTCAAAATGTTATGAAAGAAAGCTTTTGTGAACTTATTTCTGTTAGAACCAGTGTTAAAAAAAGAGAAAAAAAAGCCCAGCTTTTTACATGGTCTAATGGACCATGATAGTCAATGATAAAATTGTAATAGCTTTGTCATGGATCTTATTTGGTATCTAAATATGCTCTCTGAAAAAAAATGTGATTCACACATTTTTTTGGAGAATAAACACAAATAAAATGTCTATATTTTCATATATTCAGTAATACCTATTTGGTAAGAATTATTTGCTCTTCTCTTTTCTTTCATTTGGGATTCACTTCTTCTGCCTATTTCATGCAATTTTTTAAAAATCCTGAAAATTAAGTGTTTAGCTCTCAGTATGGGATATGTTGGAAAGAGCATACCTAGGGAGGGGTTGTTAGAGTGACACAAGTGCTCTTTGAGGCAGCTTTGACATCCTAGGGACAATGAGTATTAAAGATGTGGCTTCTTGAGTTGGAGTGGTCAGCCTCCTACCTTGTGGGTCCCAAATGATCCTGAGTAGATGTGGATATTCAAGGGAATTAAAATGCACAGCCCCTTTGGAAACATAGTAAGGACACCTACCATTGTATTTTACTTGATTGCTTTATTCATTTGTTCATCCGTCAGATACTCATTGAGTGCCCACAGTGTGCCAGGCATATAAATAAAAACATCCTATGACATCGTTCAAAGAATGATGATGTATGCACATGCCTACCATGGATCATTTAAACTTTAATGGACTTCAATTTTTAAATTGAGTTAAGTTCGATTAAATGTGTGTTATTCTTTTCTCTCTCTCTGTCTGTCTGTCTCTACATACTTAGATTTTGGGGCTTAGCCTGTCCGGTGAATCAGAGTGGGGAGCTGATTATAACATTAACCCTCCTGGGAAAGAAATATGCTGTCTTCTGCTTCCATTTCCCTGGAAGTGGAGGCTACTGATGTCTCTGGTCCTTTCTGCAAAGTGGAGATGATGGTAATCCCACTTCATCTGGTTGAGGGAGGATTAAATGAGATCGTGCACAGGGCTCTGGAGATGTGGATTTCACTAAGGTCCGGTTCTGCTCTCTTGGGGGCGCCACACACAGGAGAGGGATGTGTATGTTATACCAACTCTCCTGTGGGAAATATGGCCGCAACACCCCGAGAGCCATTGGGTTGGCTAGGAGAACTGGAAAGGTTTGGTCCCTCAGAGAAGGCCAGGTATGGATGAGCTCAGACCCCGATCACACTGCTGGTGTGGACTCACTGTGGACCCACACCAGGCCTGGGGTTTGAGGATGGGAGTCATCACAATTTAATGTTCACATGGGAACCTCTGCTTTTCGTTTTAACAATGCAAAATACCACACAGGGACACTTTTGTCAGTACACATGGTGCCGGGAGTACTCGGACGGAGGGCAGACTGGGGAAAGTGGCTACCCAACCGGATGTCCCTAGTTTTTTCTGTGCCTATCCTGACTTCTGGTCTCTTTTTTTTCTGCTTAGAAATAAGAGATATAATAATATAATAGTTTTAGAACTTAAATACACATGAACGCTGGGCCCAGGAAAGGCATGGTTTGTAAATGCTGTGATAGGAAAACTTACCCATGGCTCCTGTCAAACGTTTTAGGCAAAGAGACTCTATGATATCATTTTTAACACATACATCATTTGTAGAATCACATACATGCACTTACATAGTTATAATAATTTTTTCACATATAAGGAGATTGAGGCAGAGAGATTAATTTCTATAGCGAGGTCTTCATAGCCACATAGCAGCAGAAATAATTACCACCCTTCCTTTAAACATTACTTTAAAAATATGTTAACAAAGCATCATATTTGTTTGATAATTTTGATTATTGAAATTTGATATGTTGGTGATTACGTAGTATGTTGTTGCATTCATTCTTGGGATTTAAAGAAAATAGAGCTTTAAAAGTGGTTTGAAGCTTAAAACGAGAAGGAGAGATGTATATAACATGTTGTATAACAAATACTACGGAAATTTTTTTGTTTTTTTTTTGGCTGATAGCAGAGACGAGGAAGCTTCTATTGAAGAGATTGTGTTGAGTAAATTTCTTGATTCCCCTGCTGCCTTCCCATGCATTGTTACGGGGCACACAGAGAATATCTGTTAACTTGTCAGCAGCACTCAATACCATGGTAGCAACAGCAAAACATATTTACTGAAGATGACCAGTTGATTAAATGTCTTGACCCCCTCCCGTGTATGCACAGGCATTATCACAGGGGAATTATACAAAGAGGAAATGATCAGCTTCTGCACTGAGACTCTGTGCTATTTAGATGAAGAAAGAAGACTGTATTGGAACAGCAGGCTGTTCGAAGAACAATGATGGCGAAGTCCGAAGGGAATTTGAACACTGCGCGTCAGAGGTGTGGGAAGGGGAGGATGAGGGAGGGTGGGGGAGGAGTCCAACTGGGAAGACTAGAAGGAAACCATTGGGACAGTTGTGGCCTTCACACCAAATGCGTTTTGCGGTCTTACCTTATTATTTGCCTTTGCTGGACTGCATGTCTTTTCACACCCCTCACTGTACCTTATGATGAGGGGCCAAGTAACCACAAAGCAGGAAATGTTGTCAAGGAAACAAGTTCTAGACTATGTCTTGTGGTAATTGCCTACTAAATTCCTTCTTTCACCATAGAGAAAGGCCAGAGTCAATAGGAAAAGGTTATACTTACTGTCAAGAAGGTAGGGATGTAGGTAATGCAACTCAGAAAATTTTACATTAAACAGAATTGAGACGGTAGCAATTTGGGGAAATCTCCAGTTTCTAGAGGATTTGTATGTTGGGAAAGGGTGATTCTTCTTTTTTCCCAGCTTTGTCCCAGGGAGCCCAGTGTACCAGGTATTACAGTGCTTTTTCTGTGTCTGTCTTTCCTGGTTTAGGCTTGCATTTGTACAGTGTTCCATTTCCCTGTTTAAATAAATTTCTTCACTTTTACTTGAAATAGGACCCAGTAGGATATTATGTGGTACTGTGTATGTAAGTTTCATTGGTGCTACTTTAAAAACAAAAACCTTTGTCTACTGTTCTTTAATGTCCTCAACTATTATTAAAAAGCTTTATCTAAGAATTATTCATAATCTGTTTTGCATATTTATCAGTTGTTGCCTTTGACCAATAGTGAATTAATTTGGGTAATACTTTCACATGATATTAAATTGTTCTGTATTAGTAGAAAATATTAAATGTTACTACTGAAAATATTTATAGGACTTCATTTCTTGAGCATTCAGTCTAAAACAACCTTTAAATGTTTTTTACACAGTTTCTAAAGTAATTAATTAATTTTTTTGAGACAGAGTCTCACTCTGTCACCCAGGCTGGAGTGCAGTGGCAGGATGTCAGTTCACTGCAACCTTTGCCTCCCGGGTCCTGGTTCAAGCAATTTTCCTGCCTCAGCCTCCTGAGTAGCTGGGATTACAGGCACATGCTACCATGGCCAGCTAATATTTGTAATTTTAGTAGAGATGGGTTTTCACCATGTTGGCCAGACTGCTCTTGAACTCCTGAACTCATTCTACACAGTTTTATTAGCAATGTCCCCACACCTTTGGGTCTCCAAGCACTTCACCTGCTCCCCCTTCAGCACCTCATTCACATAACAAATGTGACCAGAAAGAAGGCTCAGTCTTCTCATTCCTCCTGAGGTAGGCATTGGCTTAAGATGCAAACAGTTTTGTTAATGCCCAGAAACACTTGCAACTTTTCATCTTGTCTGGGACATCATGCCCTTTGACATCCTTCATTACATTTTATGAGGAAAAAGCAAATAACCACAAAGCCAATAATTTTAAGAAGCCATAGGGATTGGGGCTGAATTTAGCACACTTTTATTATAGAGACAAAAATTGCCAAGTTTATGACTAGGGGTGATCAAAGTGGTCTGTCTGCATGTATAATTAGATGCTTAGTAAATGTTTTCTCACAGTAGAAATATAACATGACTATTGCTCGTAAGAAGAGTATAAGTTATACCATTTTGAAATCATTTTCTTTCCCACTCTCCCTTCCTCCCTCCCTCCCTCCCTCCCTCCCTCCCTTCCTTCCTTCCTTCCTTCCTCCCTTCCTCCCTCCCTCCCTCCCTCCTTCCTTACTTCCTTTCTTTTCTTCTTTCTTTCCTTCTTTCCTTTTCTTTTTTGAGATGGGGTCTCGCTCTGTTGCCAGGCTGGAGTACAGTGGCATGATCTTGGCTCACTGCTACCTCTGCTTCCCAGGTTCAAGCAATTCTCCTGCCTCAGCCTCCCGAGTAGCTGGGACTATAGGCGCACACCACCATGCCCAGCCAATTTTTGTATTTTTAGTAGAGATGGATTTTCACCATGTTGGCCAGGATGGTCTTGATCTCTTGATCTTGTGATCTGCGCACCTCAGCCTCCCAAAGTACTGGGATTACAGGCGTGAGCCACTGCACCCGGCCTCATAGTTTTATTTCTATTTTATACACTTATATTTTCATCTGATAGTCTTTCCAGCTTTGTCTCATTAGAACTTGAGAATTGGAGGGTTTAAATGTTTTAAAAGGATTTCTTTTTTAATGTTACTGCTGGGGGTTAATGAAGAGAAAAATGGTTAAGTCTGCCTTACAGTTACTGATGGGAGTGTTAGCAATGTCCACCCATAAAATCCTACCAACACTTTATTGGAATAATTGAGTAACGTGTAACTGGTGGCATTAAGAGTCACATAGAAAGAATCACTTCTGACCTTCTACTTTTTTCTTTTTGTAATTTTTAGATTTGTAGCAAAACCATGTGCCATAGCCCTCAACATTCAGGCCAATGGACCACAAATTGCCCCACCCAACGCCATTCTGGAAAAGGTCTTCACTGCAATTACAAAGGTATGACTGTCCTTTCCTGGGGTATGGATTGTCCCCGGTCACCATTCTCAGCCTGCAGTCAGTCATTCAGTTTCTACCCTTCCGGGTTTGGAGAATCAAATTTTGCCTTGCCTCATGCTGGAGGACATGTTGCAGAAGGAATGCAAGCATAGCAGAAGCGGAATGAAGATGGGCTTGTCTTAGACCTAGTAGGAAGCAGAATGGAGATGGGCTTGTCTTAGACCTAGCACTTATGCTCAAGTTGATTTTTAGTAGCTTGCCTAAGAACAGTCTTGATTAAATAATGATTAGTCTAATTCTGTGCCTCTTTTAATCTCATGTGATCTAAAGCAAAATATGACTTGAAGCATGAGGGCTGGGGGAACTTTGTGGAGGTGACTGGGTATAGCTGAAGAATATGATTTATGTGTGTGTGAAAAAAAGGACCTCTTGGCTTAAAGCATTGTCCACATATTCTAGGAGCTGTGATAAGTAGACAAATGTAAACAGAAACAAGAAGGTGTAATTGCAAGATAAAAGATTGTACCATAAAGGTATGAAGAAGGAGGGTCAGGAGAGTCTTAAGTGAAGAGATAGGTTCACTGTGGAGAATAAAAGGGAGGAGATATCAATCTGGTGGGAGTCGAAGCCCAAACTAGGAGTGGGAGAGAAGCAGAGAGAAAAGACCACGCCCCCCTGCCTCCACCCCCACCCCAAGTTCATATCTTCTTCAGAACAAAGAGGGAGGAGAAAGCTGGAAGTCAGAAACCCCCAATTGAAGGCCACAGGGAAATAAAGCAAATTATAGACTTTTTATATATCTTACCGAAAAGATCAGGAGAAATACAACATTCTATGAGAAGTATTATGTGTTCATAAATTAAATGGTTAATTTTTTCTCTTTCATTTTTTTTTTCTGGGAGAATTACCCAGGCTTCCAAGACATGATTTGACAGAATTAAGCAAATTCTGTTTCTTTTCTTGGTATTTGTGTTTCTAGCCTTTTGTACTATCTTTCTCATTTTACAACTATTAATTCAGATATCCAAACACTTTTGTCTATTTTATGGTCTTCATTTCTTTCAAAATTCTCTAAAGATTTTCCCTCTGTCCTTTTAAAACTGTTTTCTCCCTTCAAAAAATTAAGAAAGTACCAGGCATTTTTTTCTGTCTCTGCTAGGAAGAAGAGAAGAATGAATGGAATTTTAGAAAAAGCTCTTCTGGTGGTTTTTATGAGATAATTTCAGGTTGCCAAGTTCCTGCCTGGAGGGACACATATCTTATGGTATTTAAAAGAAGAAAATACTTAAAAAAAAGCTTGCATTTTCATTTAGTGTATCAAATTATTGAAGTGAAACAACTTTTTCCCTCTCAAAAAAGCAGATATATAGAGACTTCTCAGGTTCATTTGTAAATGTGATTATAACATATTTGGAGTCTCTTTGTAAACTACTCTAAGTACATTAAACATGCAGTATTCTAAATGAATAATAAAATAAGGGTTTTTTTTCCCCCTAGATTTGATGGCTCTGCTTAAAAGTCCTGCAGTGAACATTTCACTTCCCTTGCCTTATGTTTATTATAGTTACTGGAGAAATTCCCTCCGTAAAGGTAGTAAAAAGATTTTGCAGCCAGGTTGATTGCTCTAAAGAATACTTGCTTCTAGCTAATTTGAATGATCATATTCTTTTAGTTTCCAGGGTGATTCCTTTGGAGGTTTTTACATGATTAAAGTGTAAGCCTCATGTTTAAAATATAAATGCAGCAAGAGTTGGAACTGGTTTTCCTTGTATTCTTTGTAGTTCTTCAGTCTTAGTTATAACATAAAATGTACCAGTCAGTTAACTGGAATAGGAGGGGCAGGACTCGGAGAGCCCAAACAAAGTGTGTGTTTGTGTATGTGTGTGAATGATCATTCACTGTCCTGGCCGTACCACAGTTTCAGCTGCCTTTTTGTAGAAGGACATGATTATAATCCTTCAAGTGTGAGAAATGAACCCTTAAAATCTCTGCATACAACTGGCTACATAGTGTGGGGCCCAGTACAGAATGAAAGTGTGGGATCCCTTGTTCAAAAAGCACAAAAAAATGTGCTATTAAAAAGTACAAAAATATAAAGCTTTTTCCTTCCTCCCTTAGTCTCTCTCTACTTGTCAAGGTGTTTTTGTTTTTGAGACAAGATCTCACTCTGTTGCCCAAGCTGGAGTCCTGTGGCATAACCTTGGCACACTTGCCCAGGATCAAACTCCTGGGCTCAAATGATCCTCTTCAGCTTCTCAAGTAGCTGGGACTACAGGTGTGTGCCACCACACCTGGCTAATTAGAGACAGGGTCTCACTATGTTGCCCAGACTGGTCTTGTATTCCTGGCTTCAATCAATCCTCCTGCCTTAGCCTCCCAAAGTATTGGGATTATATTTGTGAGCCACCATGCTTGGCCAAGGTGTTTTTTTTTGTTTGCCGTGGAATGTCATGTTTCCTAGTGGCATGGGGAGACTCTTGGGGAAAGTGCAGACCCGCCCAGGTACCTGGGGCCCCACCCTCTCCCACCAGCTGCCAGGTTTCCCTTTTCTCCGGCCACTGGCTGATACACTGTATCTTGGCCCGGAGAGCAGAGAAATAGAGTCAGCCCTTTCCCCAGTCCCACTGCCCCAACCCATGGGTGATGAGTGACCTCCAAGTGTATTGCAACCTCTATGTTCAGATCCAGGGGCATGCTAGAGGCTCAGCTCTTACTGAGTTGCCCACCACATGCACTGGGGTAGCTGCCTCCAGCCTCCCTGAAACTTGACCCCGACTCTCGGTGCTTGCACCCGACCCTCTACTGGGGGCTGAAGGCAGCAGCAGTCACTAGGAGGTCGGGAGACAGGGAGGGTGGTGGGTGCTACAAGCCAGGGGATGGAGAACTGGGCAACCACACACACATCTGGTGGAAGTGGTGGGACTATGTATGAGCCCAGAATCCAAGCTCCTGGCACATTCTCCTATGCCCTATTGGGCTTCATTTACAAAGCACAGATTCCATAATAAAATGATTAGGAATTTCAAGATGGTGACTGCAGGGCTTCCAACCCCAAATGTGGACCCTTCTTAATGGGAGTCCCCATGTGACCCATAGGTCACATGCCTTGACTATCTGGTTCTCCTTTGTGAAATTATTAATAGCTGATAAATTTAAACCCATATATATTCTCTAGAAGTCTTTCCTTTTGAAATAACACCTGTCTGCCTGTTGCCTGTCTCTCTCTCCTCCCCCGTCCCGTAAATCTAAAGTTTTATAAACATTTTATAGAAACTACTCCTATTAAAGTAAGTAGAAGCCTTCGTGTTTGAGCCAGTCACACCTGGATATTTGTGTTGAAACCTTGGTTCTGCTTCATCCTGTCATTGTGGGCTTGGGTGAGTTTCTTAACCTCCCCACGCTTCAGATAGCTCACTTGTAAAAATCTTTGAATAATCATCTCACAGGCATTCATGAAGGTTAAATAAAATAATCATGTAAATCATTCTGTAAATGATATGGCATCTTTTGTCCCATTGGCTCCGATATTTTGATTTGCATTTAGGATCACCTGAGGAGTTAAATGAAGAGTGTAGCATCATGTTTCTAGAGATTCTAATCATTAGTATTGGAATGGGATCAAAACATCTACGATTATAGATTGTCAGATCCATTCAAATCAACAGAATGATTGTTACACTTTAGTGAATATTTTTGACCTGATGTTTCTTAACTGGTTAGGTTGTTTCTTAACTGGTTATATTCAGAATTATCTGGGTAAATATACTTTTAACTTTTGGGGATTCTCCTACCGTATTATTTGTACATGTTTCTATGATTCCAACTATCTCACTTTTCTAATCAAATCACTGCTTAAGTCATGGGAGTGAAAATATATGTGAGGTATAAAGCCAGTTTTATGATCCAGGGAAATAATAAAATTTACTTTTGGTATGTTAGACTAAATTTTACAGTGATAGGCAGATTTCCTTTAATTTGTTTTTCCTAATTCTCTTCAATAACCTATTTCCTTTCATTTTATTTTATACTTTCCTTCTTTTCCTCCTAGTGCTGGTTATGATTAATTTTATTATAAAAGTAACTTAGGTGTTTCTAGTATATAAATGCTTATGTGAGTCACCATTATTCATTTCTTTCCCTGGAAATCTTTCAAAAAAAAAAGGGAGGATGATAAAAGAACAATAAGAACCCCCCCCACACACACACACACATATTGTGTGTGTGTGTGTGTGTGTGTGTATGTGTGTGTGTGTGTATATACACACACACATATATATATGCTTGTGTACACATACTGTATACACACATGCACACACACAGAAAAAAATGAAAGAAAATCTCTCACAAATGTTTTATTTGGCAAATTAGGAGATGCATATCTCTAGATTTTAAAATATGTATAAAGGCTAACTAGATTGAGCAGAAACCAAGTAGGAGGAAGTGAAAAGCATGACGTGTTTCTGGAGGTCCCTGTGGGGATGGATGTCAGGAAAGCCAGCACAGAGGCACTTCTCAAGAGTTGGGGAGACAAAAGCAATGCCCACTGTTTGCAACAATAGGTGCAGGAACAGGTGAGCCAGGCTGGCAGGAGTGGAGGAGGTACACATAAAACCACACGGAGGATATATTTTCAGGAGGCCATCTCCCTCTATGGTAGCCAGACTGGAAGAGCATCCTTCCTGCTCCCGGTTCTGGAAGTAGCAGGTCAAGAAAATCCAACTAATTCAAAGATGATTAATAAGCAACTCACACAACATGAAAGACAATAAAAAGAAAATGCAGCAACCCCTGTTAACAAAAGTTTCACTAGAATAATGAGGCTAAAGAGCCAAATGAAAATTGTGATTAAATATTTTACCATAAATTTTTAAAACTGAAGCAGTAACTCTGTGACGGTGTAGATCACAAAGAAGAAATATAAAAATGAAAGAAATACTAGATCAACAAGGGGAGGTGGAATGTGAGCTGGTAGAGTTCAGAGAAAAGTACCAAATCCATCA